TGATCCTCCACTATTGGACAGCTCTTACTGTCAGAAAGTTCTTCCTAAGTTTAGGTGGAATCTCTTTTCCTGTAGCTTGCATCCATTGCATCCATGGTCCTAATCTCTGCAACAGCAGAAATCAAGCTTGCTCCCTTCTGGCGGAGTAGTGGAGTCTCCTTCCTTGGAGGTCTTTAAGCAGAGGCTGGACGGCCATCTGTCAGGGATGCTTTGATTGGGAATTCCTGCATGGCAGGGGGTTGGACTGGATGGCCCTTGTGGTCTCTTCCAACTCTATGATTCTATGATTCTATGATTCTATGATTCTATGATTCTATGATCTGTCGGGGATGCTTTGATTGGGAGTTCCTGCATGGCAGAATGGGGTTGGACTGGATGGCCCTTGGGGTCTCTTCCAACTCTATGATTCTATGATTCTATGATTCTCGATATGACATTCCTAAATAGGGCTATCATTTCACTTCTTAACCATACTCTTCTCCAGGCTAAACATACCCAGCTCCCTAAGTCTCTCCTTGTAGGGCTTTATGGTTTCCAGACCCATGTATCTCATCTACCCGGGATTCTTTGAATAAGAGATATAGGGTCCAGGTTATTTGAAGGACCGTATCTCCCTTTACGAGCCCAATAGGGTGCTGAGTTCATCTGGAGAGGCTCTTCTCTCTGTCCCATCATCATCTCAGGACCCTTTGGTGGGAACAAGAGAGAAGGCCTTCTCAATGGATGCTCCCAAGCTTTGGATCTCCCTCCCTAGAAAAGCCAGGATGGCTCCATCCCTGCTTTTTATTAGATAAGGACATTCTTATGCCGCCAGGCCTTTACAAGCTGATAAGGGCTGGGACTTGCATCTTGTGCGCTTTAAATGTTAAGGTTGGTATTTTTACCGTAACTGTATTTTTAACCCATAACTGTCTTAACTTTTAAAATTGTTCAATTGTTTTTTAAATTTTTTGTTTATACCTTTGAATGTTGTTGTACTGTTTTTAAATCATATTGTTGTTGTTGTTTTAATTTGCTGTTAGCCACTTTGAGTCCTTATGTTGGGAGAAAGGAGGGATATAAGAAAATAAAATAATAACAACAGTAATAATAAAAATAGTGCCACTCTATTCTGCTTTGGTCAGGCCTCCTCACCTGGAATAATCCTGTGTCCAGTTCTGGGCATCACAATTCAAAAAGGATGTGGAGAAGCTGGAGCGTATCCAGAGGAGGAAGACTAAAATAGTGAAGGGTCTGCAAACCATAAAGCCCTATGAGGAAAGAGATAAGGATCTGGGTATGTTCAGCCTGGAGAAGAGACGGTTAAGAGGTGATATGACAGCCTTGTTTAAGTATTTGAAAGGATGTCATATTGAGGATGGAGCAAGCTTGTTTTCTGATGCTCCAGAGAATAGGATCCGGAACAATAGATGCAAGCTACAAGAAAAGAGATTCCACCTCAACATTAGGAAGAACTTCCTAAGAGTAAGAGCTGTTCAACAGCGGTGGAGTCTCCTTCTTTGGAGGTTTTTAAACAGAGGTTGGATGGCCATCTGTCAGGGGTGCTTTGATTGTGAATTCCTGCATGGCAGAATGGTGTTGGATTGGATGCCCTTTGGGGTCTCTTCCAACTCTAGGATCCTATGGTTCACTACAGGAAAAGAGATTCCAGCTCAACATTAGGAGGAACATCCTGATAGTAAGAGCTGTTTAAGAGTGGAATACACTTCCTCAGAGAGCGGTGGAGTCTCCTTTAAACAGGTCTTTAAACAGAGGCTGGAGGGCCATCTGTCGGGGTTGGACTGGATGATCCTTGTGGACCCTTCCAACTTTATGATTCTATGATTTTCATACTAATAAGAGGAGTTGATGGTGCAGGGCCAAGCTGGCTCTACCTCTACCTTTATCTATCCCTTGCTCTACCAGAAACCTAGGCAAACCTTTGCCAGGAGGCGAATGCGCTACCACTGCCATACCATGAGTGCCACAGGATGGCACCTCTTTTGTGGGCCAGGCTGGCAAGCCAACCATGGGGAAATGGTTGCCCAACGTCCGCCGGGCAAACACGGTTGGTGGCATTTGAAGTGCTGACCCTGTCGGTTGGAGGTTCCTTGCTCCCTCCTCCTTTCTTTCTTTCTTTCTTTCTTTCTTTCTTTCTTTCT